GAGGCTGGGAATGAAAGAGGGACTGGGAATGTGGGGATGAGTTCAGGAATGCGGGAGACCCCGAGAAAACGACCGAGTGTGAGAAAGATTGCGTGTGTGAAAGAGAGAGACCGACCCGGGGTCTGATGGTGGCTTTGTGAGTGTGGGGGAGACCACGTGTGTGAAGAGAAAAAAAACTTTGGGTATGAAGTGACTTGGGGAATGTGTGAGAACCTGAGTGTGAAGGAGATCGTATGAGAAGCCGTGGGTATGAGGGTGGCGGTTGAGTGTGCGAGAGCCCGAGGGTGCGGGAGATGGTGAGAGTGGAGGAGATGATGTGGGAGACAGTGAGGAGGTAAGACTGAGTGTGAGACTGAGAGTGGACAACCAGGGGCGAGAGGAGCGAGCGACCCTGTGAGCGTGACCGCAGCCAACGGTGCAAGGCTTGCGTGTGCAAAGCAGGAACTTAGCTTCCTGGGGCTGCTGCAGTCTGCTGGTGTCAGGACTTGGAGTGCAGGGATATTGGAGTTCAGGAACAGGCTGCTTGATCCTCTTTATCGTGGTTCTTCTGAGCGTTTCCATGTCCTCTATCTCATTCAACCATCTCGTGATAAATACCCGGAGATACTTGTGAAAAACATTTCAAAAATTCTCCACTGGAGCACTAAGCCAACAGGCTGGTCACTGTGTTGTGTAATGGTCAGTATAAATAGGAATCAACATCTCACTTAACAGATGTCGTGGAGAAGCTCTTACAGGTACTGGGCAATGTGCTTAGTGACACAGTTAAAAAGAATTCAGTGCCTGCCCTGGCCCTGGGGTGGGGGGGGGCACTGCCCAGGCCAGCTAATCCAGCGGCGTTGTAGCAGAATGTTCAGCCATCTGGTGCCTTATTTCTGAGAGCTGCTTCCTTATTTGAAGATGGAGGAGGAGCAATTTAAACCTGTGACTACTTCCTGAGGTCATTTTCACCTCTTTTTGCCTGGAGGGGCCCCGGCTGCCTGTTATTACCGTTGTCCCATTGTGGTGGTATGCCGCTGGCTTTTGCTTCCTGAATTTGATCACAGACTGTTGAGTTATTAAGTTTGATTTTTCTTTCCTGACACACGTGGAAAACCACAAGCCTGATTTTCTCTTTTATCTTCCTTTGCTTCTACCTCCTTCCTTTATCTGGCTGTGGACATATTTTTATGGCAGACTAAAAGTGTATAACAGTTATGAATCTGATCTCCCTGGAACTTCTTTTTGCTTTCCCTCTCTCCTTTTCCTCTCCTTCCCCTTTCCCTTATTTTTCTTCTGTTCTTTGTTTACTGACCTCTGTGCTTTTTTGTAGTCTAAATTGTAGAGGTGTTTCTACAAAATGTATGCAAATAATGCTCCCAGGATTTAAGAGGGTTAGGAGAGTCAGCTGCCTAGACTCTCATGATTTGAGATGGCCAGACTAGTTTTCTGATGAAGTTTGAGCTGATTGCTTCAGTCATTTGTGCCCTTGTGACAATGCTGGATCTCAATAATTGAGAACTGCCTCTAATGGGCATGTAAAATTTAGATTTTTACAAAGGAAAATATCATTTCTGCTGCTTACTACATTCTTTTTTTTTAGGTATTGAACTCAGGAACTTGTGCTTACAAGGCAGTCATGGTGCCACTGAGCTAAATCCCTGGCCTACTACATTCATTTTTTTTTTTTTTAAATAAATTACCTCTTTGTTGCAGAGATTAAATGTCCAAAACAGACAAGTGGAATTAGCTGTTGCTATAGAGACTTCATTTTCATCTCAGTACCTGACCTGTCTGTGATGAAGCAGCTTATGAAAGTGATTTTTTTCACTTATTTTGTGACAGGCGAATATGATTGTTGTGTTCTCTATTAGCTTTATTTGAACTTTGTGATTTATAAAGCATTTTAGTTAATTGTATATGACATGAATATAATACTAGTAAGGAGAATGGCTTACACACCATTAACAGCTCCATTATTTATTATTGTTATTATTAATTATTTTTTGCAGTACCCGGGATTGAACTCAGGACCTTGCACTTGTGAGGTAGGAGTGGCATAACTGAGCTAAATCCCTGGCCCTACAACTCCAGATACTTGCAATGAGGCTAATGTTTTTTGGTACTGGGGATCAAACTCTGGACCTTGTGCTTGCTTGTGAGGCACGGAGTAGAACCATTGAGCTAAATCTATTGTTGTCTTTTTTTTTTTTGAGACAGGGTCTCACTATGTAGTTGAGACTGACTTGGAACTCACTATATAGCCCAGGCTAGTCTCCAGCTCACAGCGATTCTCCTGCCTCAGCCTCCTAAGTGCTGGGATTACAGGC